CGCTACATGTTTTCACTTAGTTTTCACTAACGATTTTTTGTAAATATAAATTTTGAAAAAAATTATTAGAAACAAATGTAAATAAAATTTTTTTTTTAATTATTAGAAACATCAGTATAATATTATTAATATTGACCCTTGCCTTTTTGCAAAATGCTTGTGTACATGTGTAAGAGGGATTATCTTGCATTATGAGCGAATTTCTCAGAAAATTGAAAAAAATACAATACCTGAGAAATGTCGAATGATTCTTCCATGGGTGTTTGCATGTAATTCCGTAAAGCCCTTTCTAAGGTCGATACGGATAGCAAGGGCGGCTGTATAAGAGGCAATATAATTGAATCTTGCTGTTGCTGCAAAATCGTACAATAGTAAGCCGCACGATCGCGAACCTCGTCGTCCGAATCCAACTGGCAACGTGAGAGTAACACCAACACATTCGGAAGTAAGGGTGGACAGGCGGCAGCGAAACGTGCCAATGCGGTAACGGCTGCTGCTCGTACGCTAGCGCTTTCAAGAATAACGCGATTGTAGATAAAGCGGATGTATCTCGACGGTTGTTTCGACGTGGGCCCCTCTTGGCCAAGTAAATGCAAAATGCGAACGGCAAGGGAGATATGCTCGCAATCCTCGATAAATTCGCAGAGATGCGCGAGTCCCGCTTCCTTGGCTTCTGCATTTCCTTCCATTACGGCTATAATGGTATCAGCGATTGCCGCTTTATATTCCAACCCACCCTCATCTCTTAGCATAGCCGAGAGGAAGTTCATCAAAACCGCGTGCTTGCGAGGGAACTTTTGACACAGAGCCCTGAAAGAAAAACAAAGATTTTAGAAGAAATGATGTGTACATTTAACAGTGAAGTTACTGTAATATATAACTAGTAAAATGAAATTTACCTGATGGCTTGGACTACTACGACTTTAAATTCATCCGAAATTTCCGAAACAAAGGTGGCAATCTGCTTCATTAAACGGTCAACGGAACTCTCTGCTCCAGTCTTCAAGAGTGTGGTTATCGCCAAAGTGGCAATCGATCTGTTCGAGTCTGTGATCAGATTTTCCAGATCTAGATTGCAAGTCGTAACTGCTGCCGGATGAGACATCGCGACTTTGTTGAGAGTTCTGACTGCGGCGAATCGAAGTGCCGGCTTCGGCGAGCCACAGAACAGCTGCAGGACGCTAATCGCTGGTCCAATTTCTCTGGCACTACTTCGTCCATGATTGACCAAAGCGTGCGCTGCCTCATACACTACCATTTCGGATTTATGGCGGAGACCGGATTCGATGAATCCCATCAGCTCCTCGCTTTCTTTTACTTCATCCAATAATTTATATGCCATTCTAATCAGCATGCAAGTCGCATAAGGGCTCTTTGGGCTTGTCCTCATAAGTTTAGCAACCAGCTTGATCACTGCATGCTTGTCTGCCTTACGTGCTTGATACAAAACACCCAGAGCATGATACTGAACCATCACATTGTCAGAATTTAATGCCTCCTGAGCCTCATTTGCCCATCTCCTTGCAACATCACTGGACACGCTTGTTAAATGCAAGGAAGAAACAAGAGCTGCGCTGGATACAGCTGGTGAGCGATCGATTATGGCTTGCTTCATGTAACGCTCGATGGCTGCCAACATACTACCGTCTGTGATGGTGCAAAGTGCTCGAATAGCAGCAGCTCTGTATAAATCTTCCTTTCCTGTCATGTCTTTCGTTAGACTGGAAGTGACTATAATCACATCCTCGGCTAAGGAACTCAATTCTTTGATGCCCAGATAGACCAGCCGTCTCAATACAACATCGCGCGACTGAAATAGTTTGGTCATAGCAAAGAAAGCCTCCGTGGCTTCTGTGGTGCCTAATTGTTCGCCCTGATTGAGCAGATACAGAATTTTGGTAAGAATGTGGGCACATTTTCTTGGATTTACAGGCGTGTTGTTGAATGTACGTGCTTCCTGAAGAACCGTGGTCTTCTCCAAGTTTTGAAATGGGTTCCCACCACCTTGATCAAACAGGGAAGACAGACGTCAGTGCTCAATAATCATTATGATACTAAATCTTAATAAGATCTAAAATACGTATAATTTGGAAATATATGCTCGTGCGAAATTAATACAAAATCCGATATATAATACAATGTCTATATTTATTAAGACTCATTACACCTGTAAGTCTGTTTACTTGTAATTGTCAGAGACTATCTCTGTATAACCTGTAAGCGACTTTCAATTCTTCTTCACGAGCAACACTTGTGTTAAGAATATTAGGGGAATATTAATTCATAATTACCATCCTCTTCCTCCTTTTTGTCGCGCTTAAACGTAATCATATTTCAATGCGAATAAAATCTGATCGGACGGCGAAAAGATACTACGACACGTCAGCTCGACGTGTTCTAGACGGCCATTGTAGTTTCTATCTTTCGCTGTCTTTCCTACGGAGCATGGTAATATGTGGTATGTAGAGCACAAAGGCACGTTGAGAATGAGAATGAGAAAAATAAAACGAATGAATTACATTAATGAATATATTGTCGGGGAGAGATATGTACAAGTAGAAGGACGCAATATATATTATACTGATGAGATATTATTAAAAACCGCGATGAATCCTGGATTTGTGATTATCAATAGTCTCAGAAATAATTAGAATTTTTGATATTACTGACCGTTGATAAATATAAATCTTTCGATCGTTTTATCATCATAAATATTGATATTATCAATTACCAATAAATCTAAATTTTGCTGATTATTATTTACGCAAAAAATATTAATTATGCATTTACGTAAAATATAATAATCTACATTTATATGTATTATACTGCAATAATTAAGTTTTACATGTCATCTATGTAAAGTGTAAACAATCTATCTCATCAAAGGCTATTATTTTACATACATACTATACTACACTAAAGCTTCTGAGTGGCTTATATTTTTATCAATACTAAAGTTAAAGATATAATAATTATATAATAAAAAAACTTAATTGCTTCCTTTTGCGAATATGTTATCCAATTTATAATAATTTGTATATTTTACGTTGCTTGTGTACTATCTATATGAAAAAGAATCGTTTAAGCTTAATATAAACAATTATATAAAAATTTTACGTAAACGTAATAATATCGTAATAAACGAAAGAGGCATATACAGGGTGTTTGACTAATAATGAAAACTACCAACCATATGGTATTGATTGTTGACGATGAGAGTGATCACTTTCCTACTTGTCCATGGCCTTATCATTGTTTTAATTTGCGAATTTACTACAAGGGATGGCTCGGATGCAAGCCGAAACGTTTAGTGTAGTAATGTATTGTATCAATTTTAAATACTATTAAATATATATTTTTTTATTATAAATTTGCAACACTAACAATGATTTTACTCTCATTAGCCGTTTTATTCTTTTTATATGAAATTTTCGAGAGTCTATTTTTATATTTAATTGTTAAATAATGAAAAATTCTGTCGCATAGGGGTAGAATGGACCAAACTGAGAAGGAAAGTTCTGTATCATTTTACAATTTTCACAATAGTTAACGAGATATTAATTTATAAAAATATCCAAATTCGTCCGGCCCACCGCCAAATGCAAGCGCGCGGCTGAATACGACCGCTCAGAGCTGCGTTCCAAAATGTAACTGATTACAAAAAAAGCTATAATTTACATTACGTCAACTATAGATTTCAATTTGCGTTTTGGAAAGCAGCCCTGCAAGGTGCGCCGCGCGCGTTCGCCATCGCTAGGCGATCGTATCCAGCGGCTGGATTCGAGTCGCGCGTTTGCACAGTTTGCATTTAGCCGGGCAAATTTGGATATTTGTATACATTAATCTCGTTAACTATTGCGAAAATTATAGAGAAAGCTATTTGCGTAAAATGATAGAGGACTTTTCTTCTCAGTTTAGTCCATTCTACCCCTATGCAACTGCAGTTTCTCATTACTTGTCAAATACCCTGTATACATATAAATAGCCGCAAAACTAATATTCTTTTCTACAATTATCACTCTCATTTGGAAAATTATAAAATGAAACAATGATATAATGAAACTAAGATCTTAAACAAAAAATGAATATTATCGACTTATAAAAATTAATGTAATTTATACTAATATAATTATATATCTATGAAAGGGTTGAAAATCAATTTCTTACATATAATTCTTTTTTTTTTATTTATTATACGTGTACATGAAGTGTTCCAATAATACAAACAAAAACAGCAAAAAATTTCATAATAAATAAAAATTTGACCGTTTAACGTTATTTACGTGGAAGTAAATAATAAATGTTGAATTTTTAATCAGATTTACACAACATGTATAATTAAGCTTAATTAATAAAAATTGATACACTAATAAAATAAGTAACGATTAAGGCAGTTTATTTAAGAAATCTAATTTTTAATATGATGAAATAACGAATTTATTTACACAAATCCACGGATTATTGATTTGCGTACTAATTACTATGCTGCACTTTCATTAGCCCTAGATTAGTGGAATTTATGTTTTGAATCTAGAGAGTCCGTTAGGAGAATACATCTGAATTTGATTACTTAAGAATATTACCAAAGAATATAACTACAGAACTTGAATTACTCTGCTTTTCAATTTTAATTAAAATAATTGCAAATTAATATAATGAAGATTAATACAAATAAATAAGCTTTCAAAGACGGACCTTTCATTAATTAGCAGAATGTCTGCCATCAGTTTAAAACTAAAACGCAAAATTAACGTAGTACATATATACGTACATCTAAAAATAGAAAATAATACAAAAAAAATATAAGTGAAACACTGTTATTAATATATATCGACTCTTCTATATGTTATGTGTACTAGATATATTTTTACGTACTATATGTATTTTATGAATCTTTGAATGCATTTAATTGTGAGATATGTTTGTATCTCTTCCATTTCAAATAAAAAAAATACTGATTTATATTATTTTTTAATAATGTTTTTTAATAACATGTATTTTTAACGGAAATTAAAAACGATATTCTTATGTGATATATACCAGTTCCTATATCTTCCTCTTCCTCTTCCTCTTCCTCTCCATCTCCCCATTCCTCTTCCCCTTTCTCTCGCTATTAAACGTCTTTCATCTCGTTCTTTTAGAGCGGATTCCACAGCTGTTTTTATGAGATTATTTAACTCTTCTTTCTAAAAAGAAAGAAACAAATATATAAAAATGTAACAATATAAATATATATATATAATAAAAGTGATGAAATTAAACAAAGTATATACTACTAAAACACATTTACAAATAGAATTTCTTATAAAATATATTTATAAAATGCTGTGTATTAAACTTGATAAGTCTTATAAGTCTAAAAATATTTATATATAAAGTAAATTTTAATATTAAAACAAATTTTTATCATTTAATATAATCTAATTGACATATATTTACAGTTAGTTTTGCCATATATATTTTTTCTTTTTTTTTTTTTTTACTAAAAAATGGACTTATTTTATAATTAATTTATGGGAAAGTTTTAGACATACAAAATTTTACACTAACTTCTAATGTAATTAACGTCTCAGTGTCCCTTATCGATGTTGAAGATGTGGTGGCCAATGCCATCGTTGGCACAGACGACATGATCGATGTTGTCATTACTGATTCAGATATTGTCGTCGGCATTATCGATGTCGATGCAATCGTTATTGTCGATGATGTCTTTGACGCCATCCCTTCTGATACTGTTGGCATTGTCTTTGACTCTGCTTCCTCTGATACTGTTGCCGTTGGAGCTGTCATTGTTGAGGTGGACGTTGTAGTCCATGCTATCATTGTCGTTGATGTAGGCATTTTAGTCCATGTTGTCGATGTTGACTCAGGCATTGTCGTCCGCACCGTCGTTGTTATTGTAGTTGTTGTTGATAGTTTCATTATCTCTGGCACTGTTGCTGTCAATGTTGTCGGTATCGTTGACATTATTTTCTTTGGTATGGTGTACGTCCATGTCATTGTTGCTGTTGTAGGTGTTACTCTAACTGTTGTCGTTGTTGATTTAGTATTCCTTGACATAATTGTCTCAGATACCGTCTTTTTCCTTGACGCCGTCATGGTCGTTGACGGAGACGTAGATGTTGTAGTCGACAGCTTCAGTTTTGTCTCATTAGTAAATGCAGTAAATTTTGGTGTTGTCATCATCGTCCATGTACTTGTTGTTGTCTTCATTTTTGTTAATGCCAATTTTGTTGCTATTATTAGTTAATGAGTTTTTTTTCTGTAATAATTCAATACTGAAAAACCCATAAAAAATTATATACTCTAATAATTAAAAGGTATTAAATAGATTTCTGATCACCTGTTCATAAGTCATGAATGTGAATAAAAAAAAATTTTATAAATCTTTAGAATTCAGTAAATACCAAACTAAAAGTTAGATTTTTCTATAATAAGCCATTAATAATAACCAGAAATCAGAAGTTAGAAAATGATTAATCTCAGTCAAAAATGTGAGAAGAATAATTGACTGTGATTGGTCAATTTCTAGCTTCTGACTCCTGTTCCTGATTTATTATCAATGGTGCTAATGGTTTATTAGTATAACTATATATAATTATATTAGTATAACTATATTTCATATAGAATGTGTATAACAGCTAATCTATTAATACAATATTTATTAATTATATGATTACAATATCCATATAAGAGTATTATATGAATTATTATATTCAAATTTCTGTTAATATTATGAAGTTATCTTGCATGGCGCGTATAAAAGTTATAAGGTATAATGTGTCCAATATTCACACAAAACATGGCGTTCGATGTTTACAGACTTTTTTTCCTCTGCAACATAAGACTGAAATATGCTGTTAACCGTACCAATAAAAATATGTTTTTTAAAGAGAAATTTAACCGTTAAATACATGAATATCGGATATCGTTTATATTCAGACATTCGTGAATGCAAAACTCGATTACAATTAACAATCTGATTCTTCCTCGTGCAATATGAGATCAAGTGACTTTTGAAATCTTAGATTCACACTAATAGGCAAATATCTCGCATAATTAAAGACGTAATACGAGGACACAACTTTACTTACGCTGAAACTCATCACTTAAAAGAAAATGAATTCTTATATAGATCGGCCGACGAATACCAAACTAGACCAACTAAACAATAATAATTCTCTTACGCACTCATGCATTGCGTTATGTGGTATATGTATGTACGGAATGACAAATAAAACTCACCGGCGAGATAAACAAGATTGATGGCGCGAAGATTTAAAACAAAGACGTGTATTCGATTTACTGACTCGATCGACTACGATCAACGGTCTGTTCTGTTCAGACAACTGTTGCGGTCTGCGGAGCGGATCCGTAAACGCTCGCTGCTTAAAAGAGCGATTCTTATTGGCTATCGCTACTTAACGACACCGACAGCATAAGCGTGTACAGAATATTGGCGAGCGATAGCCAATGAGAGCCATGCTTTAAGCAAAAGCTATCGCTCGCCGCTTCACTGCTGCGCCGCTCTGGGGGTCTATTCTGTACACGCTTACCGACAACTGTCGGGTTCATTAAGTAGCAATAACCAATGAGATGGACTGTTCTAGGAGAAAAGTGCGATTCTTATTGGCTATCGCTACTTAACGACACCGACAGTTGTCGGTAAGCGTGTACAGAATAGGCCCCCTGGTCTGTAGGCTCCTATAGGGCCTCTTTCACCAACGCTGATTAACTTAATCGACGATTAGTCCATTGGAATTGACCAATCGCGTCTGTCGTCAAAACTAAATGATAAGGGCCTCTTTCACTAACGCCGACTAACTTAATCGACGATTAGTCCATTGGAATTGACCAATCGCATTTATCATTTTGTTTTGACGACAGACGCGATTGGTCAATTCCAATGGACTAATCGTCGATTAAGTTAATCGGCGTTGGTGAAAGAGGCCCTTAAAGTCTTTTTACTGAAATGGTGCACAGAGTGCAATAAGTTGAAGTGAAACAGATGATATACGTTTGTTTCATTTCAACTTATTGCATTGTGTGCACCAGTTTTGAGAGTGCAGGTAAAAAGAACAGACCTTAGGTCATGTGATCGTAGACAATGCACGACATCTATACCGAAGAACGACGATAAACAAATTGATAAAAATGGCGTCCGCCTTGGAGAATCTTGAAGCTCAATTGGAGCTATTTATCGAGAATGTACGACAAATACGCATTATAGTGAGCGATTTTCAACCTCAAGGGCAAAATGTATTAAATCAGAAGATGTGAGTACTCATACAACATGCGTACATTCATATTTATACGTAGAAACATTTACCTTTATAAATTAACCTCGCAGCAGTTACTGCGATACGATACATTGTTGTACCATATTCGAACAATAATAAATTTCTGCGTGTACTTATTAGAAGTGCACTTTTGAAATCTGCTAGAAGTTAAATTAATTTAATAGATATTCGAGACGTTCCGTGGGTATTTCGTTAGGGAACGCATATCTTTTGAAACTAAGAAAAAATAACATTGTAGTCTTTAATTACTATAAATTATTTATAATCCACACTTAGTTAAATCTTCAAAGGTCTGTTCCTCTTTAACTAAATTAAATTTTTTATTTATCTTAACTTTATTTCTTTTCATGTTTGAGAAAAAAAGAAAAGGTAAACCCTGCATAAGAAGTTTAAGAAGTTTTAGCTAAAAATGGCTGTGTTCAGCAGACTCAATAGTTTTACAACCGTTTTATGATTCGTCTCTCTGATTGGATTATACTTTTAGATCTAATAGTCCTATCTCAGCAAAGGTTCATAAAACAGTTGTAAAACTGTTGAATCTATTGAATGCAATGACAGACCTTATATTTGTTTAGTCATAAATTATAATTAATATTACTAAAATATGAAATTTGTATTATATTTAATTTTTATAAATGTAAAAGTATCTAGATCCTATGAAAATATATCAGCTTTTACATCTATTTTTCCTTTTTTTATCTATATCAGGAAAAAGAAAGACAATGGTGTAAACACTGATATATATTTCAAGTCAAATATCCAGAACTAAATTATATAAACTATATTATATAATACTGATTTAAAAATAAATTTGTTTTTATAGTCAAGGCTTAGTCAATGGCTTACAGGAAATCGACAAGCTAAAGTCTCAGGTACAAGATGTCCATGTGCCACTGGAAGTATTTGAGTAAGTTCGATAATAATGATATTAATATGTATTTAGCTAACAAACCTATTATTACAAAAATATTTGTTTTAGTTATATTGACCAAGGGAGAAATCCTCAATTATATACCAAAGACTGTATAGAAAAGGCTTTGACGAAAAATGAACAAGTGAAAGGAAAAATCGATGCCTACAGAAAATTCAAGGCAAATATGCTGGTGGAGTTGAATCGAGTTTTCCCCAACGAATTAGCCAAATACAGAGCAATTCGCGGAGATGAATAGGATCATCTAGTTTCAAGGACCAAGATTTTGATAGACGTATGTCTCTGTGAACGCTGCCACACGATATATAATATATGTTCTTGGTAACTTCTATATTTATTAAGAAACACTTCTTAAACATGACATTTAAGATTATATTTTCTTGCGTATGTATGTGTGTGTGTGCGTGTGTATACAATATATATATATATATATATTGTAAGTATATCTATGAAATTTTCTAAAAATTAAAGAAACTTATAAAACATATAAGAGAGTGTTAAAATGTTTATATTTTTCCATTCCTAATTTAATCAACCTAACCTGCAGTAATTAAATCAACACTTGTGCACATTTTATTGAATAAGCATCGAACTTTTGTTTGTATTAAAACGCTTGTATGTTACGCTGGTATTATATACCAATAAGGCGTTACAAATTTTTATTTCGAAAGTATGGCATTTTTTAATAAATGATTCAAACAAGAGTTATTTGATTTCAAGAGAGAAATAAGGTATTTATTGTTTTTATTTGTTAAAAAGTTTTGAGATAATTTTTTTAAGATCAACTTTATTTTTTGAAATAGAAATTTGTTTTTTATAAAAGTAATATTTACTGAACTTTTTTATTCTATGTTTTTATATTTAAGGATTAAGGATAAATAATCAATATCTAATTAAATTAATGTTTAAAATTAAATCTATTTCAATATATTTTAGAATTTTTTCACGAAAACATCTTCATTAGCTAACATCTGTGGTGTTATTTGTGCACAAGCTCAAAGCTATCTATCATAGTTTTGCGCTGTAGGAACAGTTGATACAACACATTCATCATACCTAACATATTTTTTTTCTTCAGGACTTCATAAAAAAAATATGTTATATTAATTGCGTCTTAACGCGTGAAGATCTGATGGATAGAATACATTGTGCACAAGTAACATCACAGATGTTAACCTACTATTTCAAAGTATTTTCGTGAAAGACTTAAGAAATAAAATAAAAAACAGCAGATGCCATAATTTTTCCTTTTTGAAATCAAATAACTCTTGAAAAATTTTAAGTGTATTTTTGAGATAAATATTTGAGATTGTTTTTTCCAGATATGCTTTATTTTGAATATTTATACGTGAAATTATTTCATGATTAACATGTTAATGGCAAATTAAGAAATTGTTGCAATTTGCGAAAATATGATTATAGTAATAATAATAATTAATCGATAATTGATCAACGTAATTGGAATAAAAAACTGAAATCATTTAGAAATTGTCAAAATTAAAAAAAAATTTAAAGGGAAGGATGTAATAAGGAAAATCTTTATCGTATATTAAAATATGATAATTACCTGTTGATGATGCTTCCCATTTGGTGACACAGTCTACACAAGTGTTCTGTCTTGTTATTCGTTGAATGTCAAGAAAGATATAAAACAATGTTTGTGTCACCATATGCAAAGTACTAAATATCAAGTAACTTGCATGGTTAACCATAAAACAAATTTGTTTATTTTACAACTAGTTTTATAATGATTATAATATAATGTAAAATATGTTAAAAGTTCAACAATCGCACCTACAATTGTATAAAATTATCATAGCAATACATTTATCTCGTACAAATATTTTGTCAATGACGAACAGCTAAGTGAATATTTGATATTTACTTTCAGTTACATATATTACGTGTATTATGTGTTACTGGAATAATGCAGTAAAATTTGATAAGCTGGGAAAAAGAGGGAATCAATTTTAAATACATATGGATAAACGTTGATGCAAAGAAATACAGAATATCATTTATTATGCTAAAAATAATTATATAATTTTCATGACGTAGAATTTACATTACATTGAAAACAAAGATTAGATACGATAAAGTACAATTTTTAAGACTGATATTTCAGTAAAATTTGGCGATTTATTTATGACATATATATATATATAAATAAAATTTATATAATGCATACAATTTTAGTTTTGATATAACAGAATCCACTGTGATGCAGCGAAATAATTTACGTTTCATGCGCGTGCCATTTTTCGCACATTAAAGACATTGGTTTACCCCACTCGGCTTTTTCCCCTCTACTTCACAAACAGCATGAATGCGATCTTTGAGCGAAGGATAAAATCATTCTGCGGACGACAATCGAGCGTTCGACAGGCAGTAGCCCTGGCGATCACTAAGCGACATGTTCGCACCACTGATCGTTATTCTCGCGCTCCAATACGGCGCCAATGGAGCCGAAAGGTTCACGTGAGTACTATGCTGAAAGATTCGTCCCATTTTAACTTCATCGAATAATATTCGATACCGTAGATACGGGAAAATGTAACTTACATCAATTGTCACCTGGCCATTTTTACGTAGAAACATGTAAAAATCATTTTCACATTTTGGTACCAAAAGTGATATATATTTGAAATCTAATCGGTATAATTTCAATAGAATAAGATTTTGATGTCTAGATTTTGGTTCTTTAAAATTATGTCCGTCTCTCAATTTTCGATACCAACCGAATTTTCTTATTTTGTTACATTCTCTTTGTAATAGTCACCATTTGTTTCTACATGTGGCTGAATTTAGTGCATACATCTCGTACACCTTTAAAGATATTTTTGTAAGCAATAAAAAGAGAGGTAATTGAATTATCATTAATAAATTGTCAGTCACAAGACCTTTTTATCGTTTGAAAAACGATGAGCGATGCATAAAGAGGTATCTTCTTTAAAGCGGTCAAGTAATAGCTGGATCATTATTCGATTGCAACCGCATGAGTGTTAGTTTTAAATAGAAAGGTACACGGTGAAAGCAACAAGTGGGTGGATTCATTAAGAAATAGACCGCATCGATCGCCTCGACGTCTTCCCGAAGTTCAAAGACATTTGGAAAATTATTGAGTTCCTGCTACTTCTCGCACTTCTCGGATTTGAATACAACATGAACGTCTACTTAGAAATCCTTTCACAACATCGCGTCGTAACGGTGAACAGTAATAAAGCGGATGTAATCTGTCTCTTCTTTTCTTATAATGATAAGAATTATTTTTGTCTTCTGGTGAAATTATATATATATATATATATATATATATGTGTGTAAAATAATTTTACGTTCCTTTATAAAAAAATTTTTCTTTAATTATAATTGCAGACGTAATGAAATGTAATTTTAAATATTGAAATTAGGCTAATAGGTTAATTGCAAAAATTTGCTATTAACTTCGCGTTGGTAAGTACAGTTTGTTTATTGTTTACAAATTATATTTCATCATCTTATAAATATTATTTACTTACCAACAACTGTGTTTGATTATATTGGCACTTTACTCATATTTAGCAAATATTTAGATACGTTTTTGTGAAAAAGGTGAAAAGTCACTTTCATTATCTTCATGCTGTTAATTAAATTCTTATGTATTACTTTTCTACTTAAAATTTGAATTTGGATATATTTTAATTGTTTGCAAACTATACCTTATAATCAAATAAAAAAGAACAGCCTATAACGGTCAAAGCTTATTATAATTATATGTAGTTCTCCCATATAATTGCGCGTTAGTAACTTTCAGACATAACGTATATTTTACTTGATTAATGATATATTAAATCTGAAGATGATAAATTAAAATTCCATAAATAATTAGATCTTTAATTTATTCTTTATATATTGCGAAAAATATCACGTAGTTTTTGACGTTTCGTCCCGGCTTCCACTACTGGACTCATCAGTAAGGCATTGTAATGTAAGTCTATCTTTTACGCCTAGGTGAGATATTAAGTCGAGATTCTATATGAAAAGATATACGCGTGTCTCATCACTTACGAAAATTTGCGAATATCGTTACACCTCTGATGGCGGGTCGACGTAGTAATATACCTTATTTTTTAGTTGAATGAATGTGAATATTTGTAAGATAATCACAAAAATATATATATATATGTATATATTCATGAAATAGGTCAATTACGAGCTTTTGTATTCATCGAATACACTTTGCGCTTCTATAATAGACATTAGATTAGACAATGATTTTGTGCGTAATGTCCTTGTCATATCATTTATTGCGGGTAATATTTATTGCGAATTAGTTGATGCTATTGATAAATAAATGTAAAAATAAGATAAATTTTTAATTTATTGAAATTATGTTGCTATATATTACTAATTTATAAATAAGATTATATTATCGAAAAATATTAATAAGATTTGAACACTTATAATCACACAAGTACGTGACATACATTCGATGAGTCATTATTTCAACAATTTTAATCTTTTCAATTCTGTACATCTATTCTTTATAGTTCTTTTTAGTCTTTAATTAAACCAAAAAATTCATTATTTCTTTTTCTTTTATATCATTCATTTATTTATTTATTCTCTTAAAAATGTACCGATTACATTATTATTTACACTTGATATTGTCACTATGATATATAAAATTAAATAGATTAGAAAAAAATTATCAAATTCTCTCTTTTTCAAATTGCAGTTCTCCTTGGCATTACAAATGTGATAGCGGCATGTGCAAGAAGACATTGATCACTGAAAAGGACAACAACCCGATTCCTCTCGGTGTGTGTGAATTGTTCTGCGGCACAGGTACTCTGTGGCCGAAGCCGACAGGACATATGTCCATTGGTCAAGTCACGGCACAGCTTAATCCTGACAACATTGCGCTCGCCGGAATTTCCACTCGAACAGTGGCGGGAAATCTTCTTCAAAGGAACATTGATCGTTTGAAAGAGAATGTGAAGAAGCTTAGTGGTTCCGTATCTTTGAAAGCTACCGGGTCCAATTTAGCGATACGCTTTAAAGAAGGACTTAATTTTAATAACGTCAAGCTGACCTTGGAAACGGATGAGAGTTACATTCTCCAAGTATCTGCGAACGGCAATCAGGTAAGTTGTAACAAAGAAAGCTAAAAAACAAGAAGTATCACTTTGAATAAATTTGCATTCAAGTTCTCATTAAAGATATTAACGACTCGTTTTTGTGGACCCCAACTGTGATTAATTCGAGTATATTTATGTAAATATCGAGAATAGAAAACTGTCACGGATTTTTTTGTAAGAATAATCCGCTTGAGATAAATGAGAC